TCTTTCCCCCTCAGCAATGGGCATTCCACTTGCCTCTGCTGCCTTGGAGAGTTTCACATCCCATCTGAGTGCAAGGCCTGCTCTGGATTTAAGGCATCGCAGAAGCTGAGGGAAGTTTGAAGCTTCTTTGGATGGAGTGTTCCTTGAGGCTGGTGGGGTCCAATTCTTGATTTCCTCATCCCAAGTGCATAGGCCTCTACCGCTCAGACTGCACTGGTAACTTCAGCCTTGGTATGCAGAGACTATGGGGCAGCTTAGGAAACAACACATCCCAAAATGAAGAAAACCTGTTCCCCGGAGACAGACTCCAAAAGGAGAGGAAAGTCATCTCTGAGGCCAGGGAAGGAGATACCCGGTATAAGTGCTGCTAAGATTCCTGCAGGCCTTGGTACTGAGAAACTGGTACCCAACAAAAATACTTCAGGTACATCTCGCGCTGAGAAGTCTTCTAGCAAACTGCACCAAATGGCGCAGTCATCGGTACCGGCAGCGGAAGCCTACAGACACAGCGACTCTTCTAAGGGGCCTTCAACACCTTCACCTTTCTCCTGAGGCCACAGCCACGAGGAACTCATGGACCCTAATGAGGCGCTATTTTCATTAGCCTGCATGGCAGACACCCCCAGCTCCTTGGTTGTGGACAGCCTCGACGAGAACAATCAACAAGCTTGCTTCAAATCGACTGTCTCAGACAAATGCACAAGCATGTTGACCTCTTAAGCCAAAAGAGCTATTCATCATCTGCTCTCTGGTCTATACTTTTTAACATTTTTTTGATCATTTGCCTTAAGCCCAAAGAGCAGTTTCAGTCCCTCGTTTCAGATGGCCAGATGACTCTGAAAAACACCATAGCAGACTCCATGAGCAGGCATTTTGACGAACACCACAAGTGATCTTCAGCAGTTTGGTTTTTTGGAGCATATGGCAGCCCTGGGGCCTCCTGGAGATAGATCTCTTTGTAATGCTGTCCAACGTAATGCTCCATTGCTTGTACTTGAGGAGAGGTTATGGCCACAAATCTTCTTGTTGCCAAATCTACTTTGCCCCTTTCTCTGTAGGTGCATCTTTGCTGTCCACTCACGGCGGCTCTCCTGACCCGGATATCAGGCACCATGACCCCCACCCCAACATCTCTTCACCGCACCTCAAGGTTTGGCTCCTCAGTAGTTCTCAGACGTAGAACTGGACTGTTTTCCTGAAGTTAAGACTATTCCTGAGCAGTAGAAAATCTGTCCTGAGGAAAACCTACCTGCAAAAGTGGAAGTGTTTCCAAACCTGGTGTGCCCATTGAGCCATATCTCCTCAAAGACCTAATCAACTGACTGATTAATTACAGAACCCCAAGGTTTGTTACTCAGTTCCATTAGGGTCCTCCCAGTTGCCGTTAGAGACTTTCACTCACCTGAGGAAGGTTTTTCCGTTTTTGCTCACTCTAGTGCAGTCTGAATTTTTAAATGTTTGTCTAACCTTTTCCTTCATGACAAGGCGCCAACTCCACCCTGGAACCTTATCCTAGTTCTGAACACCCTGAGTTAATCTCCATTTGAACCCATGGGCAGCTGTTCATTTCTTCATTTGTCTTTCAAAACTTCATAACCATAACTTCGGACAGGAGAGTAGGAGAGCAGGGGGCACTCCTGGCTGTGACCTACTCTTAGACAACTTTCTACCGTGACAGAGTACATCCCCATCCTCGCTGCCTACCTCAGGTCATATCAGAATTCCACATCAGTCAGGGCGTTCGACTCCCAGTATTTTACACCAAGCCTCATCCCAAGAGAAAAGGCTAGTCTTCATACTCTGGAAGTGTGAGAGGCTCCTGCCATCTTCCTTGATAGAAGAAGTCCCTCCAGGGCCTCTCCCAGACTCTTTATCTCCTTTGCTGAAAGGGTGAAGGGGCAACCAATTTCTACTCGGAGACTGCCAAAGTGAGTTTCAAGATGCATCTTACCTTATTATGACGAATCTGGAGTGCATCCCCCGCCTCGAGTGACTCCGCGTCGGTTAGGACTCAGTCAATCTCAACAGCGCCCATCGGTACAAACCATTTTGAAGAACTCCAGCTACTCTACAGGTAAGTAACCTCCCCTTCAGTTCCCAGTTCTGCCACAGACTTCATATGTGGCCTTGGACAAGTCATTTAGCCTCCATTTTTTCCCCCCATCTGTAGAAGGCAGATGATAATTCCTACTTCACATGAACATTCTGGAGATTAATTCATTTGTGTTCAGGAGTCACACACTGGTGATGGGGACCACAAAAATACATCAGTGGCGAAGAGCAGAAAATCTACCTTCAAAATAGAGCTTTGGGAGCATATATGTTGACTACTTTCCTGAGATTTCAGGGAATAAGTTCAGAAAAATGGATGCCCTAATAATACACCAGGATTTATTATTTTGTAACTACTCGTGTGTGACCTTGGCAGAAGCTGTTTCATAAATACGGTTATTTACCCAGGAGTATTTTGTAATATATCTTAGATTCATATTGCACCTTTCATCAGACACAGAGCATTCCAGAGTTCTTTATAACGTGTAGAGAGCGTCACTGAAATGTGATTCCTCTGTATCGTTATACAAGCATGTGTAACTTCATCTACCACTGAAATGCTACCCATTTCTTGAGTTGGGATGTAGCAACTGTTCAACAGTATAAAGCAAAAAATGTTACATAAGCTAGGACAGGAAATGAACTTTGTATCCAATTGAAACTTCACGAGGAACTCATGGAGGCGGACTGCAATTATCCTAGTTGGAATTCGTCCCTAGTTAGAGGGACAGGGGTTTGCTTATACCTCTTGCTTTTTTTATGTTTAGTTCTATGATATCCAAAATGACTCCAAAGACCTTTTGCTTTTCATGCTAAAGATGGTGTCTCCTACATTACAATATCCTCTAGTCCTGTATATTTTTTTATTAATCCACAAACAAGTTTGTGTCAGTATGAATCATCGAGTTTAGTATTGACTCGAAGTAGAGAACGCGACTGAATCATGGCCAGCACATCCTACAGCCCCATAGCTTTGCCTTGGAAATCTCCCATTCAGTGTACTGACTGCTTGACCCTGCTTAACTTGTGAGGCATGACTGAAGAAGCACAGCAGCAAGTTCCTTCCTCTTTCTAGGATGGGAAGGCCAAAATAATTGGTGGGCGTGGTTCGGTATTCTGGTGCTCAATAGTGTGACTTCTAAGGCAGCTTTCTTCTCCTTGCTCCTGGCTTACTCTACAACATGATAAATTCTAATAACGCCTCGCCCGCATTAAAATGTAAGGATGTGGTACAAGAGAAAGGGATTTGGAAAATGTAATGTGTTTGGGTCCAGTAATGATCATACCAGGAGATAATTTGGGGGCACAATTTGTGGATGAAAGGACCTGAGTCGTATATAAAGGGAGGAGCAAGTTTCACAACTCAGAGCTCATCACAGCAAAGGCATGATTCACCTGTCAACCTAAGATGGTGATGGTGGGATTGCTAGAACCTAAGTGGGATATGAAACAGCACAAGTTTTGAAGCTAGCGGTGTGCTCAGCTGTGAACTGTTTCTTCCTGGTCACTTTTCGCATAAGAGGAAGTCAAATTTCTCCTGTGTGAGAGTGCCTTTAAGAAATCATTACATTAAAAAAAAAGCTTTCTAGCCGGGGGAGCAGCGGCCTGTGTAAGATTTGAGGCTTCCCATCATTCCAGGCAGCTCTTCCATCCAGCCAGGGTGCCCTCATAGCATAGGCTGTCAATCATAGGTGTGGTTTTAATATTAAAGCTATGCTGGCTAAAGGTGGAACCTCAGAGTTAGGAACTCTTCAGGAATGGAGGTGGCTTGTAACTGCAAACAAAACCTAATGGTTGTTCTTTCCAGAGTTTACAATTGAACATTGACTTAATACAGCTTTGAAACTTTACTATGCAGAAGAAAAGTGCTGTTTCCCCTTTTTTTAAGTTGTTTATGCTTAACACAGTACTGGACTGTATTTGCATTTTTTGTTGTTGTTTTGTCACTTGTGCTGCCTGATTGCATACTTTTGGTTCCAAATGAGGTGTGTGGTTGACTGGTCAGTTCGTAACTCTTTTGTTTGTAACTTTGAGATTTCACTGTAGAAGCTTTGACTTCCTCTCTTTTTTTCCAGCGTAGCTTCCCAAAAGGAAGGAAAAGGGGTTTCTAAGAAAACAGGAACTAAGACTGTTTAGGGGTGGAAGAGCTGATTTATATATATTTATATCTGGCTTGCACTGTGGATGCGTTTGGGATTCTCACAGCTTGAGTAGCAGGTCACTCTTCCCCAGACTAGATTAACCCGATGTGCAGCAAAGAGTGTCTTCTGGAGACTTTGGGGACTATACTCGCTAGGAAACTACATATTCTGTGGGCTGGATGAGACGCTAACATAATTTTTAAAAGCTTACCGACAGTTTCTTAGCTCTGAGGGCTGCTTATTTGCAAAGTTAGAAGATTCAAAGTTCAGCTCTTTTGAGTTATTTACAGGGGGCAAGTAACTATGTTGTAAATCGTGCACGAGTAGATTAAATGACGGAAGGATTTTTTTTTCTGAAACTTTAAACATTGATCACATTGAAACAAAGCATAGAAAATGACAGCCCAAAAAGAAAACTGAGAAAGCTGAGTGAGTGAAAAGGGGGGATTGGTTAAAATCAAGTGTCTGCACAACTATACCGTCTTTGTGCATATCAAAAGTAACAGTATGTACTCAGCACTTCTGTAGTGCTGAAACTTTACCCAAACCCTTGTGAAATGGATGAGGCTTGTTGCATCCATTTTGTAGAATTGGAAAAACAAGACACAGAGAAGTTGCAGCTTGTCAGAGGATATACAACAAGACTGGCCGAGGCAGGCATAGTCCTGGCTACCAGTTTCCTGTTCGAACCATTAGTCTACATATGCACTCTGTGTAAACATCCCCCCCTACAAGCTTGGTACACGTGCACTGCATATAAGCCTTAATCACATAATTCTCAGAAACAAATCTTTTCTCTCTCCTTAGAACAAAATCCAGAGTCTCAGCAGAGGGGAATACAATGTTTACAGTACTTTTCAAAGCCATGAACCAGAATTTGACTACTTGAAAAGTTTAGAAATTGAAGAAAAGATCAACAAAATTCGGTGGTTACCCCAGAAAAATGCTGCTCAGTTTTTATTGTCTACAAATGGTAAGTTTGTTTGTTTGTTTTATTGTACACAGTAAGCTTGAAAGCAGAATAAAGCTGTGTAGAATGAATCTCAAATTTTCTGCTCGTCTTTCTGTCCTTACTTACAGCATACTCAGCTTTGACTAGCATCAAAGTTTGTTTATGCTTTTTTAAACTGAGAATTTAATATATTTTAATATATATACATATATATTAATATATTTATTTCAGATAAAACAATAAAGTTATGGAAAATTAGTGAAAGGGACAAAAGACCGGAGGGCTATAACTTGAAGGAAGAAGATGGGCGGTATAGGGACCCTTCTACAGTTACAACACTACGTGTGAGTAGCTCCTCTGTCTAGTGTGATAGTTCTCAGAGTCACCGTCTGAGGGTAGGTAAGTATTTAGCCTCATTTAATAGATCGGGGTCTAAGGCAGAGGCAGTTGAGTGACTTTCTCAAGGTCCCACATAGATAGGTCTGTGGCTCAGCTGGCAATAGAAGTCAGAACTCCTGACTCCATGTGCCAGTCGTTCGCTACAAGACCATCCTTTGTACAGTGATATTAACTGTGAGTTTTCTATGGTGTCCCACATACTGTACTCCAGCAGTTCCTTGCCTGCTATGCATAGGACATCAATTTTTTAAATGACTTCAGGGTTCTTGTTTGTCAGGCTGGTGGAGGTGCATGGGCGCATTGGATGGGTGGCTGGCAGTACACATTTATCTCTGTTACATGCACAGCTTATATTTTGTGTTTTCTTGTATTTGGCAGGTGCCAGTATTCAGACCCATGGATCTTATGGTTGAAGCCAGTCCGCGAAGAATATTTGCAAATGCTCACACGTATCACATCAACTCTATCTCCATCAATAGTGATTATGAAACGTACCTATCTGCAGATGACTTGCGGATTAATCTGTGGCACCTAGAAATTACAGACCGAAGTTTTAGTATCTTTTTCTGTTTGTCTTTTTGTCGGAGAAGGACTTTTTGCCATAACTAAAGTTGTTAGATTTCTGTTTTCCCTTGAAGTGTATGCTTAAGACACCTTCCATTGCTTAAAAAAAAGAGGAATCCTCTTGGCACCTTAGAGAGTAACAAATTTATTTGGGCATGCTCGGGGGTTTTGCTGATACAGATTAACACAGCTACCACTGGGAAACTTGGTTCCATTTCTTAGTTATTTTGCAGTTGCAGAGAATATTGCTTCTGGCATGCCAATACCGTAGGATCCTTTTTAGGCAACATAAGGCAAAGCAGAGTTATGATTAATATTGGTTGTTTTCCTGGCAAAAAAATTATGGGAAAGCCATGGCATTTGTTGTCAGAAAGGAGGAAAAGGTAGCGCTCCTGGAACAGAAGAGGAGCAGGGCTGGAAAGAGAAGAATTTGAAAGTATTTGTCTTTTGAACCAGATCTTGAGCTACTTTAAGAGCCAGGTCTGCGGGAGAGGTACCATCCTCAGTTCCTCAAGTTATTGGTCTGCTGCAGAACTTCCCAGCCCCCTTCTCTCTCTCTCTCTTTGCTCCCCTGCCGCCCCACCCCTCCACTCCTGCACACATGCGCAAAAGTTCTAGGTCTCTAGAACCACAGGAGCATATTCAGCCACTGCTGTGTGGGGAGCAGGAGCTGGGAGCAGTGGGAAAATAAGGAGTCTCAGAGTTCTGGGGGGGTGGGGAGGGAGACAGGAAATCACAAAATCCATGACTCCTGTGACAATCAGCCTTGGTTATGTTGCGGCATTTGGTAAAATTAGACACAGGCCAGCTGATGTTCTACAGATCAAAACCGAACAACTGATGTGGTGCAAAATCATTTATTTAGAAGGTTGGATTTTAATTATTTTAAGCTTATAAAATATATTGGTGGCTGTCGCTTACTAGATGATAGAAGAATTTTTAAATGACGGCGTGTTTATATTTCAGGGTATGTTGACTGGTTTTATAGACAATTAAAAGAAGACTACATTTCCATTTTTTCAGGTGGATAAACAAAGGCACAGAAAAATGGTGATTTACCCCGGGTCACAGAGGGAGCCTGTGGCAGAGTCCTGTCTCCCAGTTCCCTACTGCCACACTGCTGCCTTCTTCTTTGGATTGTTTTATGTTTGTCTGTTTTAGATACCCATTTATTGGTAATTGGAGAGGCATTGTGGAATAAATGTATAGAGCTGTATAAGTGTGTTCTGAACATTTGAAGAGAGAATTCCTTAATAAAACGCACTCTAGATATTGTAGATATTAAGCCTGCCAACATGGAAGAGCTGACAGAGGTGATAACAGCTGCAGAGTTCCATCCTAACAGCTGTAACACATTTGTATACAGCAGTAGTAAAGGAACAATTCGTCTGTGTGACATGAGAGCATCGGCACTCTGTGACAGACATTCGAAATGTGAGTTCTACTTTTAATTGATTACCCTCCCCCCACATTTTTTTTAAAGCATTCCGCATTTCCTTACTAGATGAAGCTGTGGGCTTATCTGCCCTTGAAATGCTACAGCTGAGCCAGCTAGACACTACCTATGCTGACGGGAAGGGTTCTCTCCTCAGCAGAGGTAATCCAACTCCCTGAGAGGCGATAGCTAGGTGGACAGAATTCTTCTTCTTTCTACCTAGCACTGTCTACACTGGGGGGTTAGGTTGGCTTAACTACACTGCTTTGCGGTGTGGATTTTTCAGACCCATGAGTGAAGTAGTTACGCCAACTTAATTTTCTAGTGTAGACAATGCTATGTGTCGTGCCTAAGCATCAAGTACTGTAAACTGGGGCTTTTGTCAATAAATTTCTAACACACCTCACTGTGAGTGTATAGTGAATTTCCTTCGTATGGGGGGAAAAGGAAAAAAACCCAATGTCCCATGAAGGTTTTTTTTATCTCCTTGCTTGAGTGAAAACAGTAACTTAATGTTACTGCAACTTAAAAAAAATTAATGCCAGAGGACTGGCCAATTGAGAGGATTGGAAACAGCTTAATGCAGCCTTTAACTTTTAAATTACCGGTTCAGTTCCAACTCAGATCTGTCGCTAATGCTCAAGACTTGCAAATGAGTACACCCTCCAAAAGTTAGATTCCTCCCTCTCTTGGACTTTTTTTATTGTGATCGCTCTATAGGAAGCAATATGTACAGTGACTTGCCTTTTACTTCTTCTGTCTTACATACACTCGATTCGCTATCTCTTTAGAGGATCATAGAATCATAGAATATAAGGGTTGGAAGGGACCCCAGAAGGTCATCTAGTCCAACCCCCTGCTCGAAGCAGGACCAATTCCCAGTTAAATCATCCCAGCCAGGGCTTTGTCAAGCCTGACCTTAAAAACCTCTAAGGAAGGAGATTCTACCACCTCCCTAGGTAACGCATTCCAGTGTTTCACCACCCTCTTAGTGAAAAAGTTTTTCCTAATATCCAATCTAAACCTCCCCCACTGCAGCTTGAGACCATTACTCCTCGTTCTGTCATCTGCTACCATTGAGAACAGTCTAGAGCCATCCTCTTTGGAACCCCCTTTCAGGTAGTTGAAAGCAGCTATCAAATCCCCCCTCATTCTTCTCTTCTGCAGGCTAAACAATCCCAGCTCCCTCAGCCTCTCCTCATAACTCATGTGTTCCAGACCCCTAATCATTTTTGTTGCCCTTCGCTGGACTCTCTCCAATTTATCCACATCCTTCTTGTAGTGTGGGGCCCAAAACTGGACACAGTACTCCAGATGAGGCCTCACCAATGTCGAATAGAGGAGAACGATCACGTCCCTCGATCTGCTCGCTATGCCCCTACTTATACATCCCAAAATGCCATTGGCCTTCTTGGCAACAAGGGCACACTGCTGACTCATATCCAGCTTCTCGTCCACTGTCACCCCTAGGTCCTTTTCCGCAGAACTGCTGCCTAGCCATTCGGTCCCTAGTCTGTAGCTGTGCATTGGGTTCTTCCGTCCTAAGTGCAGGACCCTGCACTTATACTTATTGAACCTCATCAGATTTCTTTTGGCCCAATCCTCCAATTTGTCTAGGTCCTTCTGTATCCTATCCCTCCCCTCCAGCGTATCTACCACTCCTCCCAGTTTAGTATCATCCGCAAATTTGCTGAGAGTGCAATCCACACCATCCTCCAGATCATTTATGAAGATATTGAACAAAACCGGCCCCAGGACCGACCCTTGGGGCACTCCACTTGATACCGGCTGCCAACTAGACATGGAGCCATTGATCACTACCCGTTGAGCCCGACAATCTAGCCAGCTTTCTACCCACCTTGTAGTGCACAAGGCAACAAGGGCACACTCAGGAAACTTCAGGAAAACGTTTGAATAAATCCATCATTTACTTCACCGCATGTAGGTCACATTGCAAAGCTTTATTTTTCTGAAATACTGCATATAAGGGCAGCAAGGCTATTTATTCTAGCACAGCTAATACGCTGTAAATGTATAATAAGCTTATTTGGGTATATCCCTGTTTTAGCAGGGACTTGTATCCTGGACTTCTGAGGAGATGCGCTCCGTGGTCCAAAGGTCTTATATCTGATTGGTTTTAATTCTTCCAGTATTTTGGATGTTACAGCCTTAGGCCATGAATATAAGTGGCATTTGCCGTATACATCAGTATGCAACTTTTAATATCCTTGTGCCAATATTTCTTAGGGCGATAAGTTTTCTTCTTCGTGTGGGCATCAAACACCAGATAACTAACAGCATCTGCAGTGTTCCTAATTGGTCTGTGTTGTGTGATGTCTGTCTCGTGAAATGATGAGTATGCTGTATTGGGGTATGGGAGACGCTCATCAGTCGGTGCATGTATAAAATGCTGTCCCAGAACCATTTGAGATTTTTTTCCAAGGTTCATATCGAAATTATTGTTTTGAAGCGTGTGAGCTTGTATGGAACTGACTTAGAGTACTTTGCTGATCGGCATGCCTGTCTTTTCCTTAGTGTTTGAAGAACCAGAAGACCCTAGCAACAGATCGTTTTTCTCTGAAATCATCTCTTCCATATCCGACGTAAAATTCAGCCATAGTGGTCGATATATGATGACTAGAGATTATCTGTCCGTGAAGATCTGGGATTTAAATATGGAAAACAGACCTGTGGAAACATACCAGGTATCCAGTGAAATGTCATACACTGGTATTATAAACCTTGGAAGTATGTCATGTACTGAGTATGGCCTTGATCCCTTATTTGGATCTGTGTATACAGACCCCTGTTCCTATTCAGAGCTTCAGCAAAGTCAGTGGGGCACAAAGACATATGGGGGTCTGCTCTTTGTGGTCTGATTGTAGGATTAAGATCTACATTTGAACATGAATGACATGCTTTTTCTCGTGGGGTGGGAATCGTGAAGGGCACAATAGCGTGACTTGCATTCTGGGCCACGAGTTAGCATAGTGATGGTGTTTTGCAGCATCTGAGAGGAGACCAGAGTTCACGCCTTTCTGCCTGGGCAACAGGAGGCAGTGTTGTGCAGGACACTTGCTCAGTTTAGGGACAGTCCAGTGCCAGAGGGTCAATTGTGATGCTTCCTGTCAACTTACAGGGTGGACTGAGAGTATCCGAAGGGGGTCCTGTTCAGTTTTCCTCAAGAATCGGGTTGGTCTCCATGTAGCTTGCTTGGACGCTTTCACAGACAAATCATGCTTTTTCAAATATTAAAGAAACTTTTTTTCCCCTAGGTACATGAATACCTCCGAAGTAAACTTTGTTCTCTGTATGAGAATGACTGCATTTTTGACAAATTTGAGTGCTGTTGGAATGGATCGGACAGGCAAGTCTAATAGTTTTTCTTCACATATTTAAGCCTGAGTTTTGAGAATGGGAAGCAGCACTATGGGTTCCTTCTGACGTGAGAAATTCAAAATCTAGCCTCAAATGTATGAATCCTTTTCTTCTTGGGTTTGGTTGTTTTTTTTTACAGTGTTATGAGCTAATGTAATGTGTATTAGCCCTTACTGTGGGAGTCTTGCAATTTGATGTGCAGGGAGTGAGAATCCGCTTATGGAGATTTTATGGCTGGATTGAGGCCTTCAGTACTCTTCACACTGGAGAGTATATATTTCTTATGGCTGTAAGTTTCCTAGTATGCTTTGGGAGCTGTGTTGTTCTCCTTAATAATCCTGTCTTGCCAAAACATGAAAATACGTAGACAACCCTCTAAGAATTTCATTATTTTTTTAAAATGACTTTTCAAGCTTGCCTTGCCTGGCCGTCTCCCCAGTAATATTTCTGTTAACCTAAGTTGAATGATGATTTAAAAAAAAAAATGCATTGAGCCACTCATTTTCCAAATCTGAAGCAGCTCATTGAGTCCTCATCTGTTTCATCATGAGGGGATCATTCTCTTTAAACGAAACAGCCGTTTATCTAAATATTTGGATAATCTCTAAGCATATTTGCTTAACTGAAAATCTGATATATTTCCATTAGATGGTCTAAAACTAGCCAACTCTAAGGTGTATAAAAAGTTGGGTATATTTTGGTCCTGATGCTCGTGCAATTGTAGCCATGTACTTTGAGCCAAATTCAAAATGCTACTCCTCCTGGCTCTCAGACATTTCTTTCCAGGGGACACTCTGTTGCTAGCCATAAGGGCAATACTGGCTGCTTACGTGCAGAAATTCAAATGCTTGTCTTAATCAGAGAACCTTGTAACAGGTTGTGACATTTCCCAGGGTTGTGAGGCACCTGCCCCTAGTGTGAGGATGTTGTCGGTGCCCGCTGTGGTTGAGCTTCCTGAATCCACTAGCCTCTGGCAACACAATTCTCCACAAGCCTCGCTCTTTCTGAACAGGTTAGCAGTAGGCACACACCAACCCCTGACTCTTCTGAGCATCCCTCTGGAGTGTTCAGACTCAACACTGAACGCTCACAGAACTCTGCTTCGCTACTCCCAAAGGAATAGCACACCCCAGCTTGCAAGGAGTCAACTCGGAATCCCCACTCATCTGAACATACAGCACTTCGGTATATTTATAGTGAAAACAAGAATAAGTTTGGTATCAAAGAACAGAGTGTCAAGTAATAGAAAGGAAGAATATTGGAAACGAGTAGTTGTATACAAAACGAAATCATAACATGCTTTCTAGAACCTAAACTTAACTCAAAAGACATTCTCTTGTCTCCAACAAGAGACAGTCATTGGTGAAAGAACAGGTTAAGGACTCTTTAGAAAAGCCGGACAAACACAAGTCCATGGGGCCGGATGCAATGCCAATTGCATTGGGGGAGTTGGCCAATGTGATTGCAAAGCCATTGAAAACTCATGGTGATCTGGAGAATTCCTGGATAATCGGAAAAAGGCAAAAATATAGTTTCCGTCTTTAAAAATGGGAAGAAGGAGAATCTGGGGAACTACAGGCCAGTCAGCCTCACCTCAGTCCCTGGAAAAATAATGGAGCAGGTCGTCAAGGAATCCATTTTGAAGCACTTGGAGGAGAGGAAGGTCATCAGGAACAGTCAACATGGATTCACCAAGGGCAAGTCATGCCTGACCAGCCTATATTAGTAGGAGCGTTGCTAGCAGATTGAGGGAAGTGATTATTCCCCTCTATTTGGCACTGGTGAGGTCACATATGAAGTATTGCATCCAGTTTTGGGGCCCCCACTACAGAAAGGATGTGGACCAACTGGAGAGAGTCCAGCAAAGGGCAACGAAAATGAAATTAGGGGGCTTGGGCACATGACTTATGAGCAGAGGGTGAGGGAACTGGGCTTATTTAGTCTGCAGAAGAGAAGAGTGAGGGGGGCTTTGATAGCAGCCTTCAGTTACCTGAAGGGGTTTCCAAAGAGGATGGAGCTCGGCTGTTCTCAGTGGTGGCAGACAACAGAAAGAGGAGCAATGGTTTGAAGTTGCAGTGGGGGAGGTCTAGGTTGGATATTTGGAAAAACTATTTCACTAGGAGGTTGGTGTAGCACTGGAATGGGTTACCTAGGGAGGTGGTGGAATCTCCATCCTTAGAGGTTTTTAAGGCCCAGCTTGGCAAAGCCCTGGCTGGGATGATTTAGTTGGGGTTGGCCCTGCTTCGAGCAGGGGATTGGACTAGATGACCTCCTGAGGTCTCCTGCAGCCCTCATCTTCTACAAAGATAGCTTCCCCAAGTCCTCTCCCCAGGGCTCTCAACTAGAGGCTCCCTTTCACAAAATTAAGCCCACTGGCAATTTTTCTTCACAGACGGATGGATGCCAGGGTGTGTGTCTGCACTCCCAGATATACCAAGAGAGACTTTTAATGTTTATCTGAGTGCCTTCCTCCCCCCCACCCACTGTTGACCTCTTCCTGTTAATTTCCTTCTGAAGTCCTCTTCAGGTTTTTACTAGCATTTGACTTAGTATGCTAATAGACTCCTATTGTATGTCACCCAGGGAGATGAGTGTCTGGATAAGTGTTGTCTCAAGACACGCTGCCTTGGAGTGACCTGCTTTCAACCGCAGACCTAGAGAACATAAATTTTAGTACATACACTTAACTCCTCACATATTATCTGTACATACATCTCACAGTGACAGGGATGACCTCTGTGACACAGGCTTTCAGTGGAAATCTGACGGGCTCACCAGAAGCGGTCATGTGATCCCTATAGTCCTGTGTACCCCTGTTGGCATCAGAAGGTCCTTGGGTCACACAGGTATGATCTATAGGGCCTAATCCTGTGAAATATTGAGCATCTGCTGAAGCATGTTGAGTAAACTAACTGCCAACGTCAGCTGGAGTTGAGGCTGCTCAACACCTTGTAGAATGGGGCCCATAATCACTTTAAAACAGTGTTTAACTCCCAAAGAGTCAAAATTGGTCCTCTGTGATTCAAAGAACACTGCTGTTTTGAGTTGGGGTATGACCGTATTGGTTACTTCTTTGAAGTTAAATAATATAGATGTTCTTCTGAAGTATTGCTTTCCATGGGGACTGTTGGTTGGGGTTAATTTTGGCACAATGTGAGTTCATACGACAAAGAATGTACAGAGCGAGAGCTCCCTGTCACAAGGTCTTGGCAAAGGTAGTTGTTGATTGAGTGAGGTTCCGGATAAAAATCTGAGGTGTACCTCTAGTGGCTTTTAAAATAGCTGTTTGAGGTGAAAAAATTCTATTGGCCGCTACGGGCCCTAGTTCTGTAAGGTTCCACGTGCCCTCCTCTCTCGTTGACTTCAAGAGTGGAGGGCACTCAGCATCTGACTGCAGCAGTCCCAAAATAGGTGACATTGTTTCCCCACCACTGTGCAACTGAAAGGTATTTTCTGAAGGGGTGAAAGGGAATGGAAAGGCAGGATTTCTGGGCTCTTCTAGAGTGTAAGCGTATCCTGTGGTCAAGACATTGGACTGGGAGTTGGCTGATGAGTGGGTTCACATGGGACCTTGGGTTAATCACTTAATCCCCCTGTGTGCCTCAGCTCCCTATCTGTAAAATGTGAACACATACTTTATTTTCACTCCCCTTTGTCTTCTCTGTTTGACGTGTAAGCTCTTTGGGCCGGGGACTCTTTTTATTTATATGTACAGCGTCTAGCACTGTGGAGCTCTGTTCTCAGTTGAGGCCTCCAGGCGCTACCGTAATACAAATAACTCCTTCCTTTTTTAAAATGTGGCATTCTTGGATTAATCTTTAGCTTTCTTATTTCCAGTGTTGTCATGACGGGATCTTACAACAATTTCTTCAGAATGTTTGACAGAAACACAAAGCGAGACATCACCTTGGAAGCATCACGGGAAAATAATAAACCCCGCACTGTTTTGAAGCCCCGCAAAGTCTGTGCAAGTGGAAAGCGAAAGAAGGATGAAATTAGTGTTGACAGCCTAGACTTCAACAAGAAGATACTACATACAGCCTGGCATCCCAAGGAAAATATCATTGCTGTAGCTACTACAAACAACTTGTATATATTTCAAGACAAAGTGAATTAGGGTTGGCATTCCTAACAGAAGAATTCACTTCCTGCATAGTTGAGATAGTTGAATCTAGCATTTGTACCTGTAAATGAAAGAGAATAAAAGAGAGAGGTCCATTGTGGCACCCCTTTCCAGTGTTTAAAAATGTGCCATATGACACACTTTTTTTAGCTACATGGAGAAAGCTCTGATGATTCATCACAGTGGTGTTCTCCATGTTTGCTAGCCATTTAGGTGAGGGTAGGGCACTTTTTAATTTAATGACTACTTGCACCATCTTGCCTAATGGACTAGATTGGACTGTATCAACATTGGTTTACTCCACTTTTTATGCCTTCCATTGTGATGACGTCAAACACAGGGAAAGCCTTCAGTCATGCTATGGGATTTAATTGTGTAACCTCATTACTGTATCATTTGTGGCCCTTTTTTATTAAATGCAGCTCATTCTTGCTGTGGCTTGTAGCATTCCTCCTCCTGGACTCCCCCTTCCCTCCCCTTCATCCCCTCCACCCCTCCCTGGTGGTGGTGTATAGAAAAAAATGAAATAAAGCACATGAAATGGGTCAGTTTGGGGTCAGTGGTAAAGGAAGGGGTCTATGTTGCGAACAATGTTTTAATAAGCAGTTGACTGTAATCACTCCTTGCCATGTTTGGCACCAAAAAAGAGAAAATAAGGAAGAAAAAAAAAAACTACTGAATAAAAGTGACAAAGAATGAAGAATCTGGGTTTTTTTCTTTTTTTAATCTACCTCTTTACTTTATACAAATATTCTGTGTTTTACCTTAGATGCATGAAAATAAAGTGTTGGTTTTTTGTAATGATTTTAACCAGTATTCATTTTAATTATTTTTCAGTGGGCAGGGGGAGAGGGAGGGTTTTTGCAACTGTCTGGCTGTCATTCCTGTATGAAAAAGATCATTCTAACTCTGGTATTTATTGACCATTTCCATTTCAAAAACCTTGAAATGCTACCAGACTTTGCCATAGTCTTGAACAGTAATTGACCTGTTCCGTCTCCTTAAAGCCCCTTTATCTGTTAATTAAACTATCCCTTATGTCTCAGTGTGTGAATTTGTATAATTCAAATCCATTTATTGGGGACTAACTTTTTAATATGTTTAATCTCATCCTAATTTTATGTAATACCTTGTTTAGAATACAAAGCCAGTGTTTTTTAATTGTTAAAATTCTTGTTCAACAGTATGATGTAGTGGAAAACTAATATCAAGTAATTATAGATGAGAATTTACACTGCATTCTGAGTACATATATATTTTCTGTATTTTATTGCTATCAGTGTCTGAATGGAAATGTAGAATACCGTATGAGTGCTGCTTCTTTCTTCTGGCTTTTCAAAGCAATTAAAGATCAACTTTAAAAGGTGCAATGATCAGAAAATGCTTGAAGTACAGAAACTGCATGAAATAAATATTAATAGTTGACTGTAACTTGATTTAAACTCTTTTTAAGCAAATAAGGCTTATCCAAAGATGAAGAATTGGATACTAACGTTTTAAAAAGCTTGTGGGTTTTTATCTCCAATATGTTTTTGCTAATTGTGCTCTTCTGGTGCACTGGAAGGTCTAATAAGTTGTACTTACCATTCAACAAACAGTCAATGGCGTTTTAGTCCATAGTAAAGCCTACCTTTGATTGGGAGGAACTATACTTCTAAATCAACTGCGTTCACATTATTTTTGTGGTTTAGTTGCAAGTAAAATTTCTATAATGCTTCAGTAACCCAATCAACTTAAACATTGTTTCTGCTGTAAAATGTTGGCAGGATTGCACATAGTTAGCAAGATCACTGATGCAACGCTATGCCTTCGTTTCATTGGAACTTGTGTAGCGTTTTGAAAATGTTAAACGCTCTAAATATTCATTACATTTTGCTTTGCGTGGATACAATATATAACTCTTTTGTAACATTGATACCTGACCTGTGAGCCTTTTGTGAGGAATTTTGTGAGAGTATGAGCGATACCTTTTATTCATTTTCATTTGTTGGCCTTACCAAAATGTGTAACGCTCCTGGGGATCGTAACTGATGGGCAAGTCAAATATTAGGCCGCAATCTCACGTACTATTGTGCACTAGCTTAATTTTGCTCAAATTATTAGTCTCCTTGAAGTATTTGGAACTGCGTATGTGAGTAAAGTTAATTGCATACACAAGTGTTCCCAGGATCAAGGCTGAGGTTTGTTCATTACCCTGGCCATGGGAGTGGGTTGGCAATTAGATTTTGTGTGCGCCAGGGCTGATAAAGCAAAGATGGTGGTATATCTAATCACATCTGTTGTTTTGGGGCAATCCAAGTGTTCTGTAGGGGGTTGTGGCATCTGTAAGGAGTGCTGTTTTACTTGCATGTTCAAGTTGTGTGTGTGTGTGTGTGTGTATTCTGGATTTCGTATTGAATAGTTGAACACTTCGCTTATCAAAGACACAAAATGGAATCTGCGATGGAACAAAGATGCAGACCGTGAACAGGTAGATTTCACAAAGAGCTTGAAGCACAACTTGCTAGCACGACTGAATTAAAGTAAAACTGCCTTTGGGACCTCTGTTGTGCTCGTCAGGAATGCCCATGGTTTTAAAAGGATAAAGTGGCTTTAGGAGAGTCTGAATTTTGCTTCGCCTGTACAGGTGGCACTCTGGCATGCCACTCCATATCACGAACAAATCCCTCTTTCCCCCAAAACTAGCTACTGATTGAGGTTGCCAGATATATTCCAACTATATATTATAATTCTTTAATCACACTGTCTTTTGACGTACACTGTAAATCCTGCTGATCAGTTTCTATGCTAATGCTAATTCTATTTTCTATTAATAAAAAGTATGCATAAGAATAAATGTACTTCTGTCAGGTTGCTCTTTATCCTCTACTCCCCTTATTTCATGAGGTTTTTCAGGTTACTAATAGCTCCTCTACCCCTCCCCCCCCATCCGCATGAAACAAATCACCCTGCTTCATTTGCACCGCAGCATCTGGACCTGTTCCTAGATCGCTGGGAGGGAAGGAGAGTTTGCAAGAAAATTCTGGTACCTCCAGAAGAACAGAATCACAGGAAGTAGCTACCTCTCTTTAGGGGCCTGATCCTACTCCCAATTAAGACGAAGCAAGCCTTTCAATCAACTTCAGTGCATATTGACCCAAACCCTATCAGACCAATCTTGCCCCCTACCTGAAGTCTCGGATGTTGTTGAAACACAGTCTTGCTCCCCCCCTTTGACTATAGGTGTGATTTTTAAATGGATTTAGTTAAATGGTGCACCAACCTGTGGAAAAACTGAAATTTACAGACCGTGTTTAAACCAGTATTAGCCATTGTTCAACCAAATACTTTTTCCACTGATTTAACTAAATCTGTTGTAAAACCAGTGCAACTTGTGTGTGTGTGTAGACACGGCCTGTGGCCAGTGTTCCCTTTAACTTCAGTGGTGCAGTACCAGCCCCTAAATCTCGGTTTTCTGCTGAGAAGTGGCTATTGCCTTCATTTCCTAGCCATGTCAAATACATAGAAGGGTTCCTCTTCACCCTATTCAATACCTCACTAAATCTGGACTTTAACTTCCAATTTAGCCTTTGTATATGTTAAAGAGGAACACTTGTCTGTCCCAGCCACACTGGAAGAGAAGACCAGATGCGGTGGTTGAAGTAAAGGGGTGAGATTACTGCCCTCAGAAAAAGTAATCTGGTAATCGGAAAAGGGGGAAGTTCCCCTATTTAACATTTAAAACTATATTTTGGATATTTGGGGGTGCGTGATTTAATATTCTGGAATATTTTATTAGGGGTATAGGATTTTTTTGAAATCACATTTCCTAGTTTTAATGTGTCTATTCTAATAAATTGGAATTGGACATCACAAGGTATAGTTACTCGAGACTAGTCACGTCCATGGTGCGTGGCAATGCACAGAAGGCACGTAGGTTCCCAACCCCTAACACACCCCTCTATCTAATTGAGCAATAGGAGACATGTCCACAGGCTGATCCATGTGATTTGCCTTTTGTTTATTGAAGGTATTTCTATTTGTGCCCACTGGCCCCTCGAACTTGTCATGCATATTCACTCCCAGAAAGTTCCTTTTTAACTGGGCACTGAAAAATTGTCATGTTTGTATTTATTAACACAAAGGAAGAACAGGTGAAAGCTGTTAGGAGCAGTGGCTGGAACAAGGGAAATAGAAAGACCTGCCTTATGGAAAACAATATAGGTCAGAGATCAACCCTGTTAAACTGCTGCTTCCTTGTTAATTTCTGTCTTCCACGCCATAAACCCGTTCAGCCTTGTCATCTACGGTCTGCTCTCCCAGCTGAGTTTTAACTGTCCTTCAACATTTCAAAAACAATTCATTGCTTCTTTAAAATGGGGAGGGGAGGTCTTGCAGAGAATTTTTCTGATGCAATGCTTACTCATTCTATTTTGGTATCTTCCACGAAGAAGCTAATAAATGTTTCCTAGGAGAGCGAGTGAGCAAGAGTACAGAGGGCTTCAGTGTTAGGTTTCCCACCAGACCTGATTGGTACTTTGCAACAGAGCAATGCAGCAGGACTGGGATCCCCTGGGTCCCGCAGGACCCACTGCCCTAATAGCAGGAGCAGGTAAAAAGTCCTTTGTTTGGGGGCAGGATAGGGTGAGCAAAAAAACAGTCTGCAATAATTTGCGGGAGAAGGCTACATCTTACCAGTTTGTCTCAAACAGAAATTTCAGCAATGTAAAGCAAGTTTTTTTTTCTAAAATAAAGGTTTTAATACTTACATTTAAGTAAGGGCTAGATTTGATGTCTATTAGGAGTAAAAGTGCTTTTCACATGGTTTAAGCAAGATTTGTTTTATTTTAGTGGTAAAATTTGTCTGGATTATGTTTATATCTACATATACCAACTGTTTTAGTAGCGGGGGGCATCTGTCCCTTTTCTGGAATATGCGGGATCTAAGGTTTTTGCAGGTGGGTGTAGGATAAACATAAATGTAAGAAACAATAATGGGAGCGGGTATGGCAGAGCGGGACTGCAGCAGGATTTTAAAACAGTCCTGCGCAGGGTTCTGTTTTGCAAAGTCAACATATCCTGTGGAATGTTAGTACTTTGCATCAATGTCTGCTGCTTTTTGAACCGTCAACTGCCAATTGACATTAAAGTCCATTTGGCCAAATCCAGCTGCATGCAGATTTCAAGGAATATCTTTAGTACATTTCAACTCCAGCTGAAGCACAAAGAAAAGTGAGACTGAACACTTTGGGGGAGGGACTGTCTCTGATATGTGTTTATACGGTAGCTGGTACAGTATAGTCCTGAATCCTGATTAGGCCCCTCTCTGCAAAGTACAAATAAGTTGTTTCATGTGGCCTTACAAAGAGTCTGTTACAAGCCCAACAGTGGAGAAGAGGGAGTGCAAGTCCTTAGATCTGGCATGCTCACATAGCGATGTCACCAAGAGCAGCAGCTGAATTCCTTATACTAAGTTTAGCCCCTCACACATCTACTTGGGCCTGCCCTCCAGGCAGCTCACCAGACTGCAGGGGGTGGATCCAGCTGCTGAATCCCTCAATCTGTAAAGCCTCTCAGTGAGAGTTGGAATGGACTCCCGCCGTCTTTGGATCTCTCCACTCGCTAAGCAGACTGTGTGTTTAGCAGCCCCTCCTAGACCAATGGCCCCGGCCCCTGCCCCGTCCATCAAATCAGTGCGGACGGGGGTCTCCCTCAAAGTTTAAACACACCCTGCCTGCCCCAGAATCCCACTACCACTGTGAGCCTTCTTGTTTACCTCTTCAAGGGGCCATATGGTAGGCATAGTATGTAACACACAGAGACTTTTCACAGTACTTGAACCCACTATTGCGCTTTAACAGCAGAAAAAAATATACAGATCTATTTTAAAAAAAACCCAACATGCAGTTCTCTGCCTCAGTTTCCTTACCACTGCAGAACGTTCTCTGAGTAAAACACATGAGGAGGACGTGTGGCACCGTGGAGACTAACACGTTTATTTGGGCATAAGCTTTCATGGGCTAAAACCCGCTTCATCCGCTGCATGCGGTGGGACACGCAGGAGGAAGATACATATACCATCCCCTTTCTCTTGCCCGCCCCATCTTCCGGGGTGTCCGGTCTCTGAGTCCTCCCCCAAGAGTCCTGTCTCTCTGTCGTGTTTGGGAATTCCCCATTCCCCCACTGTCTGCCACGAGCAGGGAGAGGGAACTGGTTTCCCTAGGAGTTGGTGAGGCCTTGTCTATGCCATGATGTGCCAGCAATGCCCCTCTGCCATGTACATTGGTCAAACTGGACAGTCTCTACGTAAAAGAATAAATGGACACAAATCAGATGTCAAGAATTATAACATTCATAAACCAGTCGGAGAACACTTCAATCTCTCTGGTCACGCAATCACAGACATGAAGGTCACTATCTTAAAACAAAAAAACTTCACATCCAGACTCCAGCGAGAAACTGCTGAATTGGAATTCATTTGCAAATTGGATACTATTAATTTAGGCTTAAATAGAGACTGGGAGTGGCTAAGTCATTATGCAAGGTAGCCTGTTTCCTCTTGTTTTTTCCTACCCCCCCCCCCACCCCCCACAGATGTTCTGGTTTAACTTGGATTTAAACTTGGAGAGTGGTCAGTTTAGATGAGCTATTACCAGCAGGAGAGTGAGTTTGTGTGTGTATGGGTGTGGGGGGGATGTGAGAAAACCTGGATCTATGCAGGAAATAGCCCGACTTGATTATGTAAAGAGTTGTCACTTTGGATGGGCTAGCACCAGCAGGAGAGTGAATTTGTGTGGGGGGGTGGAGGGTGAGAAAACCTGGATTTGTGCTGGAAATGGCCCACCTGTTGATCACTTTAGATAAGCTATTACCAGCAGGACAGTGGGGTGGGAGGAGGTATTGTTTCATATCCTCTGTGTGTATATAAAGTCTGCTGCAGTTTCCACGGTATACATCTGATGAAGTGAGCTGTAGCTCACGAAAGCTCATGCTCAAATAAATTGGTTAGTCTCTAAGGTGCTACACGTACTCCTTTTCTTGTCTACACTGCCACTTGACACCCCCCGCCCCTCCCCTGAGCGCTGCAAGTTTCAACGCTGGGAAGGAGCAGTGTAGACAGTACACCAGCGGCGGCGGGAACGGATTCGGAGTGGCACATGCGCAGTGTAAAGAGACGGCGCTTAGAGGCGGCGCACGCGCCGTGATGGCCAGGCGCCGCCTCGGGGAAGGACGTGCGTCGTTCCTTGGAGGTGACGTGCCGCTGGCACCTGCGTGGGTGGGGCGGCGCCTGCGCGCTGAGGCCGAGCCGTCCGCCGGCAGCCTCTTGCGTCAGAGTGGGCGGTGTCTCCGGGCTGCGCCTGCGCCGCCGCGGGAGGCGGGGTGCTGGGGCCGTGCGGAGTCTGGCTTGTTGTTGTTGTCCCAGCCCCGCAGGCTCCTCAGTTGCCGCCGCGCCGCCATGTCCTGCCTTCCGGAGCCGCCGCAGCACCACCACCACCCCAACAACAACAACAACCACCCCCCGGCCGAGGGGGCGCCCGCTGAGCCGGGCCTCAACAGTGAGTGCATTAGCATAGGCAAATGACATGTAAATAAAGAGGGTCTGCGGGGAGCGCGACCCCCCCCCCCGGCATCTCCCCCCCCCCCCCGCACCGCGGCTGGGATTGGTGGAGAACGGGGCCACGCGAGCGTCTCCGGGCCAATCCGTAGGGTCCCGGGCGACGTGGGCTCGGCTGCGTCCGCCTGGGGGGCTTCGAGGGGTGGGGGAGGGTCTGTGGGGTTGGGGTTCCCTGGGCGGGGGTTGTGGGACTCTCCGGGGGGAAGGTACGTTGGCACCCTGAGGGCCTTTAGGGAGCTGGGGGGACACGGGGGTGTGGAGGAGGAGTGGGGTCTGCGGGGCGACTAGGGGATTGGGGGACACGGGGGTGTGGAGGAGGAGTGGGGTCTGCGGGGCGGCTCTAAGGGGATTGGGGGACACGGGGGTGTGGAGGAGGAATAGGGTCTGTGGGGCGGCTCTAGGGGATTGGGGGACACTGGGGTGTGGAGGAGGAGTAGGGTCTGCGGGGCGACTAGGGGATTGGGGGACACAGGGGTGTGGAGGAGGAATAGGGTCTGCGGGGCGGCTCTAGGGGATTGGGGGACACGGGGGTGTGGAGGAGGAGTGGGGTCTGCGGGGTGGCTCTAGGGGATTGGGGGACACGGGGGTGTGGAGGAGGAATAGGGTCTGTGGGGCGGCTCTAGGGGATTGGGGGACACTGGGGTGGAGGAGGAGTAGGGTCTGTGGGGCGGCTCTAGGGGATTGGGGGACACGGGGGTGTGGAGGAGGAATAGGGTCTGCGGGGCGGCTCTAGGGGATTGGGGGACACGGGGGTGTGGAGGAGGAATAGGGTCTGCGGGGAGGCTCTAGGGGGTTGTTGGGCACGGGGGTGTGGAGGAGGAATAGGGTCTGCGGGGCGACTAGGGGATTGGGGGACACGGGGTTGTGGAGGAGGAGTAGGGTCTGCGGGGCGGCTCTAGGGGATTGGGGGACACGGGGGTGTGGAGGAGGAGTGGGGTCTGCGGGGCGCCTTTAGGGAGCTGGGGGGACACGGGGGTGTGGAGGAGGAATAGGGTCTGCGGGGCGGCTCTAGGGGATTGGGGGACACGGGGGTGTGGAGGGGGGGGGGGGGGGTGTGGAGGAGGAATAGGGTCTGGGGGGGGGGCTCTAGGGGATTGGGGGACGGGGGGGGGGGGGGGGCCTCTAGGGGATTGGGGGAACAGGGGTGTGGAGGAGGAATAGGGTCTGGGGCGGGGGCTCTCGGGGATTGGGGGACACGGGGGTGTGGAGGAGGAGTAGGGTCTGCGGGGTGGCTCTCGGGGATTGGGGGACACGGGGGTGTGGAGGAGGAGTAGGGTCTGGGGGGGGGCTCTAGGGGATTGGGGGCCTGGGTGTGGGGAGGAGAGGGCTGGGGGTGGGGGGGGGGGACACGGGGGTGTGGAGGAGGAATAGGGTCTGTGGGGGCGGCTCTAGGGGGATTGGGGGACACGGGGGTGTGGAGGAGGAATAGGGTCTGTGGGGCGGCTCTAGGGGATTGGGGGACACGGGGGTGTGGAGGAGGAATAGGGTCTGCGGGGTGGCTCTAGGGGATTGGGGGACACGGGGGTGTGGAGGAGGAGTAGGGTCTGCGGGGGGTTAGGGGATTGGGGGAACGGGGTGGAGGAGGGGTAGGGCTGCTAGGGGATTGGGGGACATGGGGGTGTGGAGGAGGAGTAGGGTCTGCGGGGCGGCTCTAGGGGATTGGGGGACACGGGGGTGTGGAGGAGGAATAGGGTCTGCGGGGTGGCTCTAGGGGATTGGGGGACACGGGGGTGTGGAGGAGGAATAGGGTCTGCGGGGTGGCTCCAGGGGATTGGGGGACACTGGGGTGTGGAGGAGGAATAAGATACGCTGTAGGGGGTTGGAAGGCGCTTATGGTTTTGGAGGCCCCCTGGATGGATTTTTTTGGAGGGCGGGGTGGTCTGCATCTTGCATACTGGACAGAGTGGTGAGGGGAGGTGTATTATTGTGTACTGTGGGGTGGAGATGAGGGCTGGTGGTCTGTGGGAGGATGACAAAAGGGGAGGGTGTTCAGGAGTTAAAGGGGGATGAAATTGGCACCAGTCAGAATGGGAAGCAGCTGAGGGGACCATGGGCAGCGGATTATCTTGTGGTGGTGATAGGTTTATTGAATGGCTGAGTTTAGGTAATATCAAGAGACCAAACCATCACGTTTAACTCAGTAAGTTTTAGAGGGTAGGGTGTAAGTACAGTGGGTGAGTCAAATGCAGAAAGGGGCGGGGAATTTTAGTAGCAGGCTTAATAACAGGGATATGAGGTAAGGGGATGTGAGGAAAGACGGATGTGACTTGGTATTTAATGGGGAGAGGGAGTAGGTTTGTTTTGTGACAGGAATGAATTTATTTAGTGACTGGTTCTAACAGCAAAGATGATGGTACAGCAAGAAAGTGGGGGAGGAGCTTGACTGTGGGAATGACTTTATTCAGTGACTCAATATCACTGACGTGAGCTGTTTTTCTCAGTATCTCACATGTATGTCAGCTGCTTTGCTGCATCCTTTTGTTCTAAGGATAATATTTGTGTGGAAGACTGGTGATTTTATCTAGGAACTCATATTGGTTTAACTGATGTGTTTTACATCTCAAATACACAGCCATTCAATATATATATTTTGGTTTGTTTTTAAGTGCCAAGGATACTGTGGTAAAACAAAATGTATTAATGATTAACCATTCCCTCTATCCTAGTTTGCTAAATCATCCACAAACCATTTCAATAGGACCAGCTAAGTGATCTCCGTTAATTCAGTGGGAAATGTATTAGATGAGAGTAAACTATGTCGGTATAACAACATTGCCATTGCATTTGATGTCTGTGCATTGAGTGTCATGTTAATTACAGCAGTGTGTTTCTCTGATGTGTTGGCCTCGGAGAACTGCACATGCAAACAAATAAACAAAACAAAGGCACCATATCCAAATTATTCAGGGCTGTTAACGTGTAAAAATATATCAGTGTATATTAATTGATAAGATTTCACTTAACTTTGGAAATTTCATCTTATATTTGGCATGTCCAAGTAAACCTAATGTTTAGTTCTACAACTTAAAATTAGTTTATCCGTGATCTGAAGATATTCGTTCTTCCATACTTCATTTTTTTCCCTTTTTCTGTTCACTGTTATTACAGTGACTTACTTACTGTGTTGGAGACGTCAATCTGTAAGATGAGAGCAGCAAGAGGGAATTCAGTGTAAACATTTTAGGTCCCAAACTTGAAATGAACTCCACAGGGGCACATTGCCATTGAAGTTAGTGGGGCATCATGCAGGTGCCTGCAAGGGCTGCCCACAGATATCTCTCTGCGGGATCAGAGCATAAAGAGTTAGTGAAATCAGTGCAGCTCCTCAGGTTGGCAAGTGCCATGTGGTAGCATGGAGTGTTTTCAGGAGTGGGCCCCATGAGCAAAACAGATGTAACCAGTCACCTCCATGAAGGCTCAATACCAGTTGCCAGTTGAATTTTGTCAGACTAATGAGTCTATACATTAATTCATTTTTGTTCTAAAATATACCTTGCATTTATTTAGCACCTTTCATGCAAAGATCTCAAATCACATATGGAGGTGAGGGTTGCCCATTTTGTCAGTGACAGAGCTGGGAATGGAACTTGGAACTCCTGACTTGAGTCTTGTGCAGTAACCACAAGAGTGTGCGCTCTCTGGTATTTCCTGAAGCCTCACTCGGATTTGAATTCTTACCTCGTACTTGTGTTAGATATTAGCAAAAAACAAACAAAAAAACCCCCAAACCCAACAATTTAAACTGGAACACACTGACAATTATGTTATGTCTGTTTTTCAACAATATTTACTACATTACTGAGGAAAAAAGAGGGTAGTCTCTGTTATGGCTCTACATCCCGTCTTGTGAGAAGTCTGGTTGCTGTTGTTGAGTGCTGCTGGAAAGTGACCACCAGTGCTTGTGTAAAGCGCTCAAAGTCCCTGGCTAATGAAGTACTGCTACATCATTCTGGCCTTTTTACTGTAAAGGTGAAGCAAAAAACGCTAAAGTGTTAATGTGGGATATCTGTTGGATGGAAAATATTACTGTGGGAAATGGAAAAGCTTTTTTTCGACAATGGTATATTTAATTACTACTTAAGCATTTAGTGAGTGATACTTCAACAGTCAACAGATTATGCTAGATTCTATAGCTTTTATGAGATTATGAAAAACTAAAGGGTAAGAGCGAAGTCCATTGGAATTCTTTATCAAAGAGAAGATGCTGTGACTGCATAATGGCCATGAGCCAGAAAGCATCATTTTCACTGCTTCAGACTTGCAGTAGAATTTAGGAAAATTTGCCTGTGAATTTCTTTAATGTTACTGCAGAAATTAGCCAGTTGCACCAACCCCTGCAGTCGTGTAGTGTGGTAAAATGCTTATTCTGCATAGAGCCCCATTGCCTTCAACAGGACTCTGTGATGTCAGTTTGAGAAACAGAGTCTAATAAAAGTAAATTGAATTTTGATTAATACCCAAAACAATAAATCCATCCTACTCTGCAACAAGCCTTGGCTAAAGTTTTTCTATAGTATGACCTAATTAACAGAAGCAAGGTTATTAAAGCTGTGTAGCAAACAATCATGTTCATACATGCTTCAGTTCCTAAGCATCTCTGTATGCCTGATGATCTGGATACATACAGTTGTTGCTTGTAAAGGGGACACTGTCATATCACTTTAGGTCCAGAATTTTAAGATAAAAGATTTGTGAAATCTAAGCTTCATGGAATTTTTTTCCTTGACAGATAAATTTTCCAATGAAAGTTTAACATTTAATTATTCCTCTGCTGTGTATGTGACCCTATCATTGTGTTAGTCCATGAGAACCTGAAAGTAAATCTGAACTTGTTCATTAAAAACAAAATTGAAATTTGTATGTGGTGTGTCCAAGTTTATTAAAATGCAAGAAAGTAAAAAATGGGGAAAAGTAACTAGTCTTTTGGTTTTAATCTGTTAGCTGTCTGTAAGGAGTTGAAAAAAAAAAAAAAAAAAAAAGCTGACCGTGTCACTTTTATTACAGATTAATCTCTTGACTAAATTTCTATTTTAAAAAATACATGACATTGCTTCAGATTGCTTTTTGGACAATTTTCTCTTTTGAGAAAATGTCAAATTCACAATTTTTATCAAAACAGATACCTTTCAGGTGGCTGGTTAAAATTTTAGGAGGAATAAAGTGCCAATCTTTAGTGTGGTGCTTGAAACTACAGTGTGACAAAATGAAATGTTCTCCCTTTGGGGGGTAATATTACTCTTTGGAGAGGCTGGGTTGGGGATGAGAAGCACTGTTTTTTAACTTGGTTAATGTAGTCCAGTGTCTCAACCTAGTCTAGTCTAGTCTCAACCTATTTGGCCCACAATGTGTTATGTGGGCAGCATCCAATACTACCTATAGGGACCCGAGGATGTCACAGGTGCCGCAGCTCTGTGCTGAAAGGGCTGCAGGTTGAGAACCACTGTTATAGTCTCAAATATTTTTCTGGGATAATGTTGCTCCTGGTCCTCCCAGTCCTAATACTAGACAGCCAGCATATCTGGATCTGTAAGCAGAGGAAAAGGGAATATACTTGATCTCCACCAGTTACTTTTGGCCATCACTTTGGAGCTGCACGAATGGACTTTAGAGGATTTCATATCCAGCCCATCTCATCCAGAAGGAAGGTTATAACATAGGGTCTTTGATGGACGGGATCATCAAGCACCTTTTCAAACAGCAATTGGTGGCTGTTCCTTGAGCTCTGTGTTGGAAATCGGTGGCAGTGTTTAAGCTTGATATCACAATGCGTTGACGCTAATTAAACATGTTTTGACTCATCAGAGATGAGTGGTCAGATGGAGAACGTGCAGCTTCTCATGTAAACTCTGTCCTAGGCCTTCTTTTGATGGGAGGAGTATTTAATTGTTTTAACTTGTTTCCTCCAGTGTGCCTCTAACACAACTTTAAACAGCAAATTCCACAATGTACCGTATTAAGCACAACTGAGTCCTAATCATGCCGGTGCAGCGATAGGTTATAGCAGTCCATTCTGATTAGTCCTTCACTGCAATCCCAGGCTTCCTCTTTGGTCATCTACCAAAACTCCTCCACAAGGCTAACCTTACAAGAAGTGGCCTTCCTTATTTATGCTAACTGTCAGCCTCCAATATTTCTGCCTTCATTTCTTGCCTATTGTTTGTTTCTGAACTCTGCTGTACAACATCAGCAGGGGTGGGGGTGGCTGAGGGTGAAAAGAAGTTCCTCATTTACTTCAGACATTCGAGATCCCACCATAGTAGCTTCTCTGAACCCAAAGTTGTTACCAACTGACTTGTAGCTGTCTGAGCTAAATAATTCCCTAATTGCAATTGCAGCATGCCTTCCCACAGATATTAGTGATTTCATAATGGAAGGTGGTTGCTCTAGGGTAGGTCAACTGTCCTGGCATATTTCTTGAAATGTGGCCTTCCTTTTCTGAAATTCTGCAGTCACTGCTGATCATCCCAGGTCTGAAATACGGAGTAGTCCCACCATTCCATGCTGGTTGGTCTGACCTAAAACTGCCTTTCCACAGCTCGTTCTTCATTGGCTAAACAGCCAGACATTCGGTTGTTCAACTGGTGCATGGGCTCCAGATCATCTTGCAGTGCTCTGACAGTGGCAGAAACACCATCTTCTCACTGCAGCTGCTCTGTAAGACTCCTGGAACCAACACACTGCGTTAGTGAATATAATCAACAGCATCTCCAGCCTGGGAGACATTCCTGGTTACCGAAACGTAATGGAGAAGTTGCTCGGGTATAAAAGAGATAGCAATTGATCCACTGGTTCTATGACACAACTTCTGGAACCAGAAAAGGAATTCTTGGAATCTGACCTCCACTCCCATATGGAACGCATATGGGTTTGTACATGGGCAGTGTGCATTCGCCCATAATTTATCACCCACAAAGATCACTGCAATATGTCATACCATAAAATCGTTGCAGCTCATGTAATTGAGCCCAGCACCTGTCTGAACATGGGCTTTACGTGAGTGTACTAAGCATGATTAATAATTGATGGCTTCGTTTGAATCAAATAACATGGGTTGCATATTGTTGAGCTTTTTGTAGCCAAGGTAAAATACCTTAAGAGGTCAATGGTGGTGATATTCCCTGGGACCAGACCTGAATCTCCATTTAAAATTTCACTTTCACTTTAAAAAAAAAAAAAATCACTGGCCAATAGTTTGTATGCACAGTGTTAACTTTAGTCTAGTAAATTTAAAAAATGAATTAAAAGTAGTTTCTACTACTACCCCTGCCAACACTTTAGGTTTTCCAGTCTCCCAGTTTCTGTTTTCACAGTATTTTTTTTTTCTCTTCCCTGGTTGAAGTGAAAAGATTACACAGATTGGGGAACCTGACATTATCCAAGATAACAGTGACACCTTTTATACCCTAATGCAAAAAGTAAACAAACGATGAAGGAATATTTTAGGTGTGACAGTCGAAAGTTTTTTTTAAAAGAATCAGAAAAGCATGTTACTTTTAAGATAATAGTTATGTGTTATTTCTGAGAGTATTTGCTCTCTGCTATCGCAGTTCATGTATTGACAGGCAGAAAATTTGTGTTCAGCTTTGAAAACTATTTTTGTTTAAGAGGTATCAACTTTATATTGTTCGGATAACAGGGTGAGAGTCCCATTAGTTGTTGCTATTGAAAATTCCTCCCGTTAAACACAATTGTTAGTTTTTAAAGTAGTCCAGCGTGCTAATAGTTTTGATTTTAAAATAGAGTATTTAGGTTGTCTGTATGCCATAATAAATCCTAGTTACACCAAAGAGCTGTATTGATTAAAAAAAAAAAACCCTGCTAGTATGTAAAGATGCAAAACAACAACTTCTTCCACAAACTACTTTGTAACATCTCAGTGGCATAGTTTTTCAGACTAAATAGGATGTAATCAGGTTCTGAATTTGAATGTAGTCTGAGATGAGGGTCTGAAAAAAAGTATAAAATGAATTGCTTGAGCCATGTAAGGCAAAAGCGACACCAAACGTAAAATTACTGCACCAAAGAACAAGAGCTTATGCAGAAAAGAAACTGAGTGTTTCAGCTTATGCCAACTGTTCTCAAACAATTAATGTACTCCGATTAAAAAGTAAACTATCTATATTCTCAAGTGATACAGTTAATGAGTTTGAATAAGAACCACAGGTTTGCAGTTGAATGGGCACTGGATTAAATAGGTGACCCATATGTCAGGACTCAAGTGGTTTAAATTCACCAGTCAGAACATAAACTACCTATTTATGAATATTTTCAAAATATCCTAAATGAAATCTGTGACTGCTTAATGTACTGGTAAAACGTTTTATGTTGTTACTATGCATGTTTAGTACAGTCTGCAGTTGGAATTATGTTCTTGTATTTTAGTAGTTTAAAGCGTGTGTTTTCAGTGCTAATATGATGCATGCAGCTTCTCAATGCAATTGAGGCCCTTACGCTAAGATCCTGTAGTTAAAACTAGTTATAAGAGCAGAGACAGGATGAATTACAATATATGTAGGCGAAGTGTAGTACTTAGTATATAGAATCTTCCCTGCAAAAATAGGTTGTAACGATCAGTTATAAGAAAGCGGTTAACTAGGTTAACAGTAATTATTTGCACTATTTGAATTAGAAAATGTTAAACGAAATATTTAGATGGGACTTTAAGATGGTTAGAGACTTTGCCCGCCCACCTCAACGTATTACAAAGTGAGAACCCCAGTTTTCCCACATACCGAGCATAAACAATGGAGCATATGTGTGAACACACAAACACCATTTCCGGCTAATTATAACCAACTTAGTTTCTTAGCGTACAGTAGATGTGCATAGTTCTTAACTATGTGGGAAAACAGGGGGCCTACCTCAAGGATCTAATAATTCATAGATCTGTGAATCTATAATCTAAATTGGATACATCCCAGTTATTAAAGTTCTGATGTGAGGGGTAACAGACAGTACTGGAGAAGAGATTGGGATTGGAAGGCCAGCTGAAAGAAGTGAGGTTTGTTTGGGAAGAGGAAAAGGAGATTGCTTGCCATATGGCTAGAGAGGGAGGTTGTTCCAAGCACAGGGGGCATTGTGGGGAGAAAGGCACGAAACTCGAAGTGGGGAAGAACAAAGGGAATATTAAAGAATGGAATTTGTTTGGTTCAAGAGTGGGGTGTAGAGAGAGGGGTGGTGAGGATTTGGAGCTTAAACCTGATACATACGAAGGGGATGCCTGTCAGGGGATTTAAAAAAAAAAAAGCATGAGGGAGGGGAATGACTGTTGTTGTTTCCAGTTACCCAAATCAAGACTGTTTAGTTCAGAGCTATTAAGTCTACAGTTAACTTAAGGGACAGGGGGAAACAAACCTGCCATTCTTGTCTTCTCTATTTGTTTGTGAGCATTTTTCTTTTTTCTGGCATCAGTGGATGTTATCTGAATTCACCATGTTCACATTCTTTCTGCATGTGAATGATAAACTTTAAGCGAGGTTTTAGTTTCGCTGCTTTTAATGAGTGCCATCTGGCTGGCCCAACAGGTTCCTGGGTGGAGTTACAGATGAACGGCAATGGCACTAGCAATGATAATGCCACTGGGAAAAATGGGGGCCTGGAACATGTCCCTTCGTCCTCCTCTATCCACAATGGAGACATGGAAAAAATCCTTCTGGATGCCCAGCACGAATCAGGACAGAATAGTTCAAGGGCTAGTTCCCACTGTGACAGGTAAGGAAACACAGCTGTATCAGGTCTCTTGAACCACTCATTTTTTCATATGTTATGTGATGCAATTTCCATTCTTGATGCTTTAATCAAGGGCAAATAACATTTTATTAGCTGTATACTTCTGCATCCAGCCTGTGTGCCATTTGGAATACTTGCTGAATCCTGCTAACTTTAAACAGTATAGAACTTGGCTTGTTTGAAAAGCAAGTAATTGTTGTTAAACAAAAAATAAAAAAGTGCAGGAGTAGAACAAATTGCATCAATGTCAGTGTGAAATCTCATATTAACATTGTTCATGTACTGTGTAAAAAAAATAATTAACCGTGTGATTACTGATGCATGATTATTTAAGAGAAGGTAAGAACAAGGGATACTGTGACTGAAGATAGTATTGACTATGATGAAAATGTAATACCTTGGCTTTATGAAATTTTTCAAAGTAACTTACTCAGTTACATCTGTATACTGTGTGTCCAGGCAAGAATAAATGCAAGGTAGTGATAGAATAGACAACTGACTTATAATTTCCACCCCTCTTTCTCTCACAGAAGAAGTAGTTGGGAGAAAAAAAGTGTCTTTGCTCAAAAAAGCCCTAACTACTTTTTTCCGTTAAAGGCAAAATGTATTTATTTATATCTGGTAAAATAATCTTGCTTGTCATCTCAAAGCAAGCGATACCCTTAAGGTTTCACCCTCAGAATTGTTGGACAATTAAGACGGTGTTGGAGCTGTCTTAAGAGCCTCTTTTTCTTTTTCTTATATTGCTGGACAAATGCTCTCTTCTCGCCATGTCAAGTATGTAACATTTATATCAAGCTCGATCAGATGTAGCACCTACAATGAATATGGATGGAACTTGACATTAACTCAGTGATCATTTCAGAATAGAATTACCAAGTACAATGGACAAGAAGAGTAAAAAAATATTTTTTTAAAAGCTACTCCCTCAGAAAAAAGCAAACTGTTTGCTATACCTTTATTTCTAAGAAAATTGTAAGCTGCCAGTAACTAGCAGAGTATGTTTTCACTTTACAGTTCAACTAGAAACATTTGATAGGTAGTGTCTGTAATGCTCATTTTCATTCTTATCAAGGTAGGAACTTTCTCTCCACCCACACCTTTAACTGCCCCAGTATTTTTGATTTAAATACTGTCAGATAAAAATGTCAGATGAAGATAAATCCCTTTTTCTTTTTTCTCAACATCAAATGGGTGGAAAACTAAACTTCCAATTTTGTAGTGAGCGTATCAGCTCATGATTATGGACAAGAGTCTGATATTTATAGAAACCTGAGGTCTAAAACATTTGTAGAAAGGAGTGCAAACGGCTATAAACCATTTACTGAGTAGTTTAAAAGAAAGGTCCTGTTCCCAGTGTAACTTTTTTTCCACTCATTATCCATCTTTTTAATGAAAGCTAATATCAGATTAAAGAGGGGTGTCTACAATTTTGATGCGATGAAATGACGTGTCTACATCGCACTGTACCTTTACACTCTCCCTGATTTTAAATTCTCTAGCATTTTTTCCCATCTGGGTGTGAATGTTACTAAAGAGAAATCCTTTAGTAGAGTATACTCAGGTTTTAGTATTGGAAATAAAAGTATTTATTCCTTTGGGTTAATTTGCTAACTATTAAGATATTTTGGTGTGTAACATGTAATGCCTGCTGGAGAAATTCCTTAGTGTGCCATGGAACAACACTAACGAATTCCTCCCACAGATATAGTCCTTTAAGCAGCCACTTTTAAAATACCTACAAAGTTTCAGGTACAGTTTTATTCAAACTCCTTTGAGGGATCCATCTTCTAGGTAACTTGATTTTGCTAGTGACTGCTTAAAGTTAGTTTTACTGTATATCAGAAAGATGGCCCAGTGATGTAGCAACAATAGCAATGTATTGCCTCTCAGGGGATGAGAGTTCAGGACTCCATTTTGGTCTTTTGCTCCTGGGTCGGAGTTACAGTCGAGTCACTGTGCTGATTCTTGATGGTAGAGGGGGTCCTGCCCATCTCTTTATGATTAACTGAAGGGTAGTTGGGGGTGGGGATGGTATGAAAACAAGAACAAACTGGGAATATGGAAATTCTTTTGGGGCTTGGAGGATTTTTTCCTTGTGGGGCATAATGATAAAGGATCCTTGTTTCTCATCTGCATTGTCTGCGTACCTTATATGTAGAAATAATTGAACTATGATGCAATTAAACTGATGTTTCAGTAACTTAATAACCCAAAAGTGACAGTAATGCCATCATTCTTTCCTTTAGCCCTTCCCCTCAAGAAGACGGACAGATAATGTTTGATGTGGAAATGCACACGAGTAAGGACAATAGTTCTCAGGTACTTTCTCCAGTAAACTCTAATGTACACAACACGTTGTGTAGGAGAGCAGTGTTTAAGACACAATTTTGTCTATTGTAAATAGACAACTTCATATCAAGATGAGTTTAAAAAAAAAATAAATAAATTAGTGAAGCATGCTAGAGGACTGAAGCCAAATACTTAAAACGATAAATTCTGTATATAAATATACAGCTTTAAACTGTTAATTTCCCGCAATGCATTATTAATATGGTATGGAAACATCTGAGTCTACAGTACCTATACTGAATTAAAGGCCAAGAATATTAAACTCCAATTGTCGAAAGCCTGTTTATTCAAAATCTGGAAATGTCCTTTAGCCTTTTGGAATAACCGTGTTTACTTGTATTGTACCATGTTCTTTGTATCTTTTAAAATTAACCATTTGACTTGAACTGTGTGAACAAAATTATCCATTCTTGCTTACTTCCATGTAAATAGACTCAATGAATCATTGAAGCTTTTGTATAGTTAAGGTTATGATGGTAACTATGTTATAAACTTGTATTTTAGGAGATTATGTCTATTAAACTTAGCTCTGTGAGGTGGTGGTATACAAAAAATTGTTTTTATAATTTACTGAGCAGAGAAGGAGTTGTTTGTATGTTTAAATTCCAGCAGTGGGGAGGGAAAAAAAGTCTAGTTTGAAACACCTGCTTTGGAATTATACAACTTGGACTTTATAAAAATTCAATTTTTAAACCTTGGAGAGAGAGAGAATATCAGGCACCAATCCTGAACTTGAAATAATGTGATTGAGTAGATGTAGTAGCAGGTTATCAGAGAGATTGGCAGGATTTCGTTTTCACATCTAATTATGTAGGTATGTGATAGAACTATTTGTTTTACAAATATTTAAATTACTACCTAAGAATTCAGAATCATCATTCTGTGGTTAGTGAGCTCACATATTTCTCAGTCATCTCAACCCGAAATGGAGAGGGAATCTAATGCTGAACTCTTAGTTTGGTCATTTTATGAAATTTGCTGTCTTCAGCAGTACACGTTGAGAGCAGTAGTGGAAAAACGAACGGTGCGAGTTTAATTTTTGTCAGAGAGGATGGCCAAGCAATAGGATCGTCATCCTTCTGTAGCCCTGTAGAGAACCGTACTACTCTGAGTGAGCTCCTTTGCTTTTTGTTTTGTCATTCAGGGTTGCCATCTCCCTATTACAATTCAGCATGGCTCCCTTTCTCCATTTGTTTTGGTGCCTCTTTCAGCTAAGCTGTACTCCAAGTGGTGAAATGTAACCTTGCTAAAAGCTGAATTTGGTCTCAGGCTCCCAGTGAATTCAGCGGGGAGAGGACAGCTTGGGAATGCCAATACATACAGCTCTAGGCTTGGCAGTTCATAGCCACGGCACCTCTGAGCTTGCTGCGTCAGCTATGAAAGTAAAACAGTTTCTTGAGCCCTGGCACCTCTTCTATTACAAATTAAGCACTGTATATGGCAATCCTTCCATGAGAGGGAGGTATTAATCTTTGGGGCAGGGACTGTCATTTACCGTGTACAGTGCCTGCCGTAATTGGGCCCAGACCTAGTTGTGCCGTAATTGGGCCCAGACCTAGTGCAGAGGTCTACCATAGTATACATATATACATGTTAAATAACGGAAGTAAAATAACAAACAAAAGAGATTTGTTTTGACATTGACAAGCTTCTGGAAGAAATGATTTAAAGTACTTTTGTACAGTTTGGGCAGAAATACTGCCCTTTTCATTTGATTACATCTGATTTAAGAATCGCTAAAGTTTTAGGGAAAGGTTTTTACTTGAAAACATTTTATGCGACACCATCTTATTCAGACTATTTTTAAAATCATCCTCTCAATTGTTCTTCGCTCTAATTTCTAATATATATATTTAAATATCATACAATGAAGCTTGCTTAAGTCTGTAATAAAATAATATATTTATCAGAGGTGCACTGACTTCAGCGGACCCTGTGGGCATAGTAAAATCCCTTCCAAATAAACGCTTGATGCAAGAATATCTTTTCAGTCGTCATTGCCTTGCCTTTCCCTCCCCAATCCCAACATATGCAGAAAGAGCTCAGTGGAATGAAAACTGCCAACATCTGCTGCTTCTCATTTTGTCACTGCAGTTGGTGCTCTTAAAATTAATACCATGCGGAATAGCTGATTAAGTGTTGTTACAAGGCATGTCCCATGTGTATTTTCAGTCTGAAGAGGAAGCAGTAGAAGGAGAGAAAGAGGTGGAAGTTTTGAAGAGAAGTGCTGACTGGGTTTCACACTGGTCGAGTAGGCCTGAAAACATTCCTCCCAAGTGAGTTGAACTCTTTACTAATAAACGCTCCTTCGTAAGAAGGAAAGAAGAATCTTGCTGCACACATATATGGAATTATTCAGGCTATCCAAATGGGTTCATCACTTTGAAGACTTGGGTTTCCCTTGGAGGATAGATAGCCTAAAACCAATAAATGCTGCAAAAAATGTATTAGCATAACCGAGATCCTTTTACTGAAAGCAACCCAACAATAAGCTTAATATGAAGTTACTTTTTCCAGTAAAACCAGTGTCTTTACTTGTTAGAGTAGGGTACCTGGAGCTTGCTAAAGGTACCTGGTGGGGTTTAGTAACATCTCACTGACTGGTGTGGTACTGGGCAAGTCACCTAAAGTCTCTGCATCTTGGTTTCTGCATTTGTAAAATAAGTATAATGCTTACTGATGCCACAGGGACCCTAGACGCAATCAGGCTTTGAAACCCATGAACGGAAAGCACTATGTGAGTGCAAAGTGTTAGTTAAATTGGAGGATGCGATCCATATCTGGGAGATTTCTACATCCCTGCTTGAAACAAAAATGTGGCTATTACTAACAAGTCATGTACTGAAATTTCCTCTCCAAGACCTGCTTGTCTCTTCAGCTTGTGCTCCCATTGTCTCTGTACTTGAATAAGTGGTCTTTCAACGCTGCCTCGTATTTCAGTTTGGTGCCCCTGCAATCTGGCTTTTGCCCTGTCTAGTTCACCTTGAAGAAAATCTGGCAGTGTTCTGTGCAGTTCTGCAATATTCCTGTCTATTTTTTCCCGTCAGGGAATTTCACTTCAGACATCCTAAACGTGCAGTATCTTTAAGTATGAGAAAGAGCGGAGCTATGAAGAAAGGTGGCATTTTCTCTGCCGAGTTTCTTAAGGTTTTCATCCCATCTCTGTTTATATCTCATGTTTTGGCTCTGGGACTAGGGTAAGTACAAAGACTAATTTTAAACTTTGCGTCTTTATTGCTTGTATACTTATTGTAGTACTATTGGAATAACCAGTCTGAGGAAGAGCATAATAAGAATGACCAGATTACCTTGACATTGTGCTGATACATCAAGTGTATTTGAGATGTAGGGAAAACTACCTTTGCAGTGACGCAAATTTTTTTACTTGATTGTAGGAAAAGTTGGAGATTGCATGTTCATGCATTCAGAATGCACAGATTATCATGAAATCGGTGACCTTAGTTGACTGTGAAATCCTACTGCAAAGAAGCTTTGCAGTGTCCTGTGGCATGACCCACTTGTTCATTTGCTCATTCTATTCAAATTTCTGAGAGTATAGTGTAATAAAAGAAAAATAAGACTCTAAGCATAAATATTCTAGTATTTTTTCCTCTTTTGCGCCAAGAAAACTGATGATGTAACTGTGTAACATCATTAGATAATGCTCCAGACCCATGTGTAAGCTCCCACTAATTCTGAGTGGCTCGCATTACTGCAGTTGCATGATGGTACTGAAACTAAGGGTTTGAAACTTGAAACAGGTACAAACTGTGATGTGTATATTTCTGTCTTTCAAAATCAGCTACTGAATTTTCAGTGCTGTTAGTATTTCTGTAATTAGAAGTGATCACTGAGTATGCTGAAGGTCTTAGGTTTGCAAATATCTATCTCATGCCCTCTTGTGGTGGGGCCTGAGAAATGTACTGTTTAAAATACCATATTTCAGTTTTTATTTAACTTCTTGCACAAAGTTTGCCTTCCACTCTGATTTTAACATATTCTTGTAAATGATTTTTTCCTTAGTCCTAGTTATTGGTTAAACTAGCTGGATAGAAAATGTGAAAAGAGGATGTCTGGTTGCAAATAAGTATATTTCTGAAATAAAGTAGGGAAGTTGCCTCGCTTAATTTGTTAGAGATTTGCCTTTTTGTAAGCCCATAACACTCAATGTTTTAAAGCCTGTGCTAATATCTTTTTCTTTAAGTGTAGCCTAAAGAATTTGGTGTACGTACTATTTTGGCTGGGATTTTCAAAGGAGCCTTAGGGAGTTAGATAGCCACCTCCTATTGAATTTCAATGGGATCAGGGTACCTAAATCCCTTGGGCTCTATTGGAAATCTCAGCCTTTCCAGTTAAGTGTTTAGATAAAGTCACTTATATAGAAGAGAAGGGGGTGTTATGGAAGAACATCACCAAAAAAAAAAAAAAAAAAAGGGAACTATTGACAAGGGCAAACTAGAACAATAGAATGAGCAAGGACTGTTGTGAAGGGTACTACTCCCATGAAATACAATGTTTTATGTTTTTATTTCAGCATCTACATTGGAAAACGCCTGACCACGCCTTCAGCCAGCACTTATTGAGAGAAGCAGAGTGCAAAACTTGGAAATCCACATGACCTGTGAAGATGTTATTGTCACATTAGTACATTTGAACTTGAGACCATTTTAAGCATGATCCCAGCCCCGCCCTTTCTTTACATATCCAGGTTCCAGTAACCCTTGGAATTCAGTATTGTATTGGAACTCTGTTGAGGTGTTTGACTACCCACCTTCTCTCCCCGCACCCTTTGGCCTGCAAAACACGTCAGTTGCCTAACAGACTTTACAATTGTCTATACATTGCAAGGGCTTCTTTAGATACAAAAATTCCACCAGCAAATTATAATTTTATCAGTGATGCTGTTGTCTCCTCTAGTACAACCTGACTTAAATCTGAAACCGCTCTTGGAATAAATGTGGACTGTATTATAACAATTGCCAATCTCTTTAAAAGAAACTCAAGGTTGGTTAGAGTAAAAGTGAGTCTTTGTTTTTAGAAACCGTTGGCTGTAAATCAAACTAAAAAATCATTGGCAATAAAGAATAAATAAATTTTAAAACAAGCTTTTTGGGTAATTTACTAACCCCCTATTTTGGCCATGACGTTTAGTTTGCAGAAGGCAAAGACTGCACAAAACATAAAGCAGGATAACAACTTAAAGTCATCAGCATATTTTAATACTAGATAATTGTCATAATCTTGTCTTTTCTATGAAATAGGCTCCTTGTTTCTGGTAGGAAAATCTAATGGCTAGAAAACGTAAGAGGAATTGCGTTGTTTGCATGTGAAGAAGCTTTTATTTTCCTTTAGCTTTTTCCTTACTGGAAAATTTTAAATGTAAAGTTTTCCTTTATAAAAGCAGTTTGAATGCAAATATTTTTGGTATATTTAGGCCTCGCTGTAAAAGGGGAGTCTCCTGAAACCACCTACAATTATAAAGATATGGTCGTTTCAGTGGCTACTCGAAGCATTTGACCTGCTGTTGGGAACAGTCTTGCAGTTGTGTAAAGAAGCACAAGCTGTAAATCTCTGACATGATGTCTCCTTTCGTGAAGTTTTCAATATTCCCATTTGTCGTTGTTTACTGTATGGTCTCCCTTGGGGATAACGTAGATCCTAAGGTCACTCGTGACGTCTTATGTAGCTAGGTAGAATTCTCATTAATGTTGTTGAACTTTTATCTTTGGGAACACTCAGTCTTGTCCTTCAGTGACGCCTTTTTCAAAATGTGAAGCTTTAGTACCAAATTGTTAAAAAGCATCGGGACATAGCCATGTCCTTAAGTAGATTTTATTGGATTTCAAAACATGTAGCATGACTCTGAAGGATAGAATACTCTGTTTTTTTAAATATATATTTTATCATAGATAAATAATATGATATAGACTTTAATACGAAATATTTAGGGAACCAGTGTTGATTTTAAAACTAGCAAAGTCTCATTTAAATAGAAAATGCATTAGGTTGACTTGTAGAAAATGTTCAGAAAATCTGGTCAGCGAGTTTGGAAGAGAAAGGTACCTTAAATTTTCTGCTTGCATCAAATAAAGTTGATGGTTTGGTATAGCAGTGATAGTTCAAAACAGTTCAAACATGGAGGCTAATTCCTAGTTGAGGTTTGCTTTAAAAAAAGGCACCTCAGGGAGCAAAGAGGCGAAGTATGAAATCCATTTCGAAAATGTGTTCGTTTTATTCTCCGCTTCTCACGGCCTTTAGGAGAAGGTTTTAAGACAAGTCCAGGGTGAAAGGGTAGTTGAAGTATTCTGTTTAGACATCTGTGTTTTCTTTTAATCTCAAATATTAGTAGCTCTTGAATTATCTACAACTACATATTTATTTCAAGCGTGGATATTGGGTTTCATCCAGACATGTGGAAGAAACAAGTGGCAAGGATGTTTTTAGGCAGTATGAACCACCTTATTTGAGAGACCTAAGTAAAATGGGAAGGGGAGAAAGGCTGGTATACTTTATTAGTACTAATTATAGCATCTTCTTTTGTATGAAAATTGGAATAGTGGACAAATAGATTTATATTAAGTAGGGAATATCTTTATTTTAAAAAAACACCATCCATATTAGATGGATTCATCTGCATAATACTTGATAAATTAATACGTTTCAAGTTTGTGACTAGAGGATAAACACAGCTATGTGCTAAGATTTCAAGCAGCTGTGAAATTAAAAATTGTTCCTGGAAAATATTATTGAAAAAATGGATACCTGATCACTGTAGCACTTATCATACAATGATACAATGCAGTATTTATTGATACCCTAATGTAAGCTCGGGATGGAAGTCTACAACTTTTAGTTTTACAATGAACTGAAACAGATTGTTGTATCATTTGAAAAGGGGTTTCAGCTATTGATAGTTGAAGTTTTGTTAAGATAAATATTGTTTAAAAGCTTTATACCTGTTTACAGTTTTGAAAAAAAATGCAGGCTTCATTTTTCTTACGTTCAGTGAAAACGGGCTTAAAATATTTGTAAATAGGATCAAGCAAAAATACATAAACTCACACATTAAAAAAATGTGGCAGGCTAACTTAACTGTAGCAAGTACATATTTACTTACTCTGTTTTGAAAAGTGAAAACGAAAGACTTAGAAATTCAGATTTTTTAATTGACCCACTTGTTGAAATTATTGAAGTTAACTGAGCCAAAGTGATTATGCATCCTTCATATATTTAGTTAGCACTTTGTAACATTATATACAGTTTACAGTACATGTCTAAGTTGTAGCTATAAACATTTTGTGCCATTAAAGCTCTCACAAAACTGTGTGTCTGTTAGATCACTTTGTACCAAATCCACCCCCCCAATCTCCCCCCGGGGAAGATGTTGGATAACTTTATGCTGCTGCTTGTTTATGAAGTAATAACTATCCTGAGTTAAATGAACCAAGAGGTTGTCTTTATTAGAGTGGGATCATCAAGTTCTTGTGCTGAAAAGTAATTAAAATATTGCCTTCATCAACCATGTTCACTACTTCCATCCTCTCCCAGCACCTTGATCTCCTTATAGATCAGGAAGACTGTGATACCAAAAATAAGAACCATGTATTGTGCTTTAAGATCCATTGTCTCCTGGGCCAGTTATAGTTCTAAGACTCCTCCCAATTCAGTTACCAATACAATTTAAAGAGATGAGGCCATTCCTTGTTCTAAGTCGATAGAGCTATGACCGTTTACACCAGCTGAGCATCTGCCCTTACAGTATTAGCACAAGATTATTCCTTACCTTAAGGATGTCAAGGTATTGGAGAATGCTGAAAGGGGTGTGGAGTTTACCTATATACATTTTAAAAGTAGCAGTTTTTGTGGCCCATTTTATTTCCTCCCTGGTTTTTTCTTGTTCAATGTAAAATTTCGGGGAAAAAGTGTAAGAAATGAAGAATAAAATTTTCAAAAGCACCTAAATTACTTAGAAGCCCAAAAGACTCAGTGCAGGGTCTGCATAAGTAAGAAAATGTAATAACATTTTATAGACCAGAAATGCTCTTTCTCTAACAAGGTTGTTCTTTAAATGAGTTGCAGAGGGCTATTAGTCTCCCAGTTCAGCTGGGCTGCTAAGACTCTTTCAGTGGTGGCCTTCCTCTCTCTGCAAGAGCTGTCCGGTTCATGTAAAAGGGGTTGGTGTGTGTTAATCAGGCTGACTGCAGAAAAGTTTTAATCACACATTTCATTAGCTTGATGGTTCTGTTTGTACATAGCTATATGCATACAGTGCACACACTTTGTGTCGTGTCAAGATTGGAAAAGAAAACAGAAAAATAAGGTAAATCTTGAGTAAATTTCCCTTCTGTGAAAGTTCCAAGTGGATTGAAATTGCCAGTAAAATTCTTTGTATACAGAGTTCTCCCATAACTCTATTCCTACGCGGTCCAACAAAGTTGGCTTATTTTAATGACAGGAGGGAATATATACCAGCTAAAGTATTCAAATGGTGGCTTTGATTTTATTTGATAAATTTTGTTTTACTTGACAGGTTATGAACTGTGGATTTCTTTGCTGATGGAGGGTGTTTCAAATTCTCTTTCAATCTGAACAAGCACCTGGTTTGGGCAATTTCCATAGGAATACAGAGCCTACCATCGTGTCTAGTATTTTGGTTTATTTTAAACTATGTGGGTAAGCCTAAAAACAGAAAGAAAAGGAGTACTTGTGGCACCTTAGAGACTAACCAATTTATTTGAGCATAAGCTTTCGTGAGCTACAGCTCACTTCTGCTCAAATAAATTGGTTAGTCTCTCAGGTGCCACAAGTACTCCTTTCCTTCTTGCGAATACAGACTAACACGACTGTTACTCTGAAACCTAAAAACAGAAAATCCTACCATTACATTTAGAATACGATAGTTTGAGAGGTAAAATCCTCCAATGTGAAGTTCAAGCACTTCATATCTAAATGATGACATCTTCGCCCTATTGAAGTCAATGGGAGTTTTGCCTTCAGTGTGGCCAGTATTTCACCCAAAGTATGTTAAGCAGTGGATGATTTCAGAGGGACTACTCTTGTACTTAGTACATTGTTTGCTTAAGTCCCTTGCTGAATTGGGGACTTGAAGAGGATATTAAATGACGGTTTTGATTTACTTGCGCTGGTGTTATGCTGTATGGTTCATGGTTCTTGCCACCACCACACATGCGCATATAGATGTGAGATTTCAAAGGGAACCTACAACCTTAGACTGCGCTTGAAAATCGCATGTTGGGTATATACAGCAGCCGTCCACAAGAAAAAGACAAAGCTCAATTTACTTCCAGTTGATTAAATAAGTCTCTGTGTCCTGCACTGCATGTTGACTTGGCCAAGAGCAGCTGACTCAGCCAACTTCTCCTTGCAGCACTAAAGTGTGATTACTCTTGATGTTCCGGGGAGGGGAGGGAGGGAGGTTCTCCATTAAGCAAAGTAAACGTAGCTGTTAACCCTGAAGTGCAGACAGAAGAGTGAGCAGCGTGGAAACTTGCATTTTCCATTTTAAACAATAACACTGCTTTGATATCAACCGGTAGCATGAGCAAAAAAAGTCTGTTTCTGCAGATTGTGGGATTTCTGGTGACAAATCTCAAGTTGCAATGCAGATCAATTTTGCATGCCCTTGCTATATACAAGTAGATTAATAGATTAAGGCCAGAAGGGGCCATTAAAATAATTTCTGTCCTCTTTCATAACACAGACCACAGAATTTCAACCAGTAATTTCTTCAAATCCGTAACTTCTGGTTAAAATAGAGCGTATCTTTTAGAAAGACACACAGTCTTGACATGAAGCTTTTAGCTGATGGAGACTCTACCATGGCCCTTGGTAAGTTATTCCAATAGCTAGTTACCACCCCTCCCCCCGCTAAAAAATTGAACTTTGAGTGGTTTCAGAGGAACAGCCGTGTTAGTCTGTATTCGCAAAAAGAAAAGGAGTACTTAGCTTTTTTCAGACTTCTGCTTCCAGCCATTGACCCTTGTTATGCTTTTGTCTGCTAGATTGAAGAGGCCTCGACTACAGGAATATTCTTCCCCTGCGGTACTCCTAGACTGTGACCCAGCAAACTATATAGATCTTTAATATAAAACAAGTTCTCTTTGAAGTATTTCAAATGTTACTGCTTTTGGGGGCAGGTCATACTCCCAGCTACACGGCAGGACTTCATGTTACCGATCTCATAATACAACAACTTATCAGTACCCAGGATGATATCTTGTTCCAGTTAAATGAAATCTGAGTTGGGACGTTTGTAAGAGAGTAAGGCAGCAAGAATATTTAATTGCTCTGAACAAGGCAGACTTTTAGCTACAAAAGATTAATGACAGCAGAGCAAGCGTTGATTCCTATGCCCACTGCCTCTACCCACTCTCTGCTCCCACCCACAGCTGAATTATCAAAGGAACCCAAGTGATTTAGTAACCCAACTCCCACTGAATGTCCATGGGAGTTTGGCATTTAACTCTCTTGCACTCCTTTGAAAATCTCTGATAAAGAAGATTTCCTTCCTTCCCTCCTTTTTGTGAGAATTTGTAGAAAAATAGCAGTTATAAATTTCAAGTAGTTCTTCAAGTCTTAAATGTTGGTGCTTTCTGCTCTGCTGCTTGGAAAACAAAAGAATGTTTCCGACCATTTTTGTAAAAGTCATTAACAAGTTTCACCAAAGCTGGACTGTATAGGATATAAAATGGAAGTTTGGCAGGCCAAGCACTATATGCCACAATTACCATCTTTCTCTCCTGGGTTTTGATCCTGCTCCCGTTAAAGTCAATGAGCCACAGCAGCAGCTGGAATAAAACTTCATAAATCCTTTGCGATGAATAACGCAACACTGAAGTCCATCAGCTGAGTATCTGGCCCAAAGAACGCAGGATCATACCTCTGCTTCTTTATCTCCCATTTATTGAGTCTTGTTGCTGGCTTCCGCTCCCTTCATCCAGTTCAAAGCCCTCATCCTCTCCTTGAACACTCTCATAAGCACTTCTGCCACTGCGTACGTAACTGCCCTCATCTTTCCTGCATGCCCTTGTGTTCTCTATGCGCTGCCCCGTCTTCCCTCCTGACTGCTCCCTTTGTTTCCTTCAGCCGCTCCTGTCTTTATGCATCGTCTCATGCTTGGAATAGCCTCTTAATTAATGTCTGGCAAGCGCCCTTCTCCAGAAGATCCACCGATTCTGTGTAGCGGGACCACACACCACTGTTCTGTACTGTATTGAACTTTACAGTACACGCTCATTCCTTGAGGACAGGAGTTCTTGGGGGCACATATGGTGCTGTTTCCTATGGCTTCTGTGAACCTTTGTACAGAGCCACGCACTCTTCTGTTGCCACCTGTATAATTTGTACCTGATCCATTGTATTGGATTATGCAAAGCCCAAAACAGGTGTGTTTAAGAGGCATCATCGCATTTCGAGGTCATAGGAAGCGGCAGAGCAGAAGGGGGCAGGTCTGTAGGGAGGACAGTGATTCAGACTTCATAAATCAGTTAAACCAAGATTAGATTCTGACCATCCTGCTTATTCCACCTCAGCTTCGCTCCCTGGAGCATGTAGAAGAGATTTCTGAGCTCACATTTCCTGTGCAGGAGGGCGTGTTGGCTAAAAAAGCCACAACTCCGTTTTTATGTAAAATTAAAAACAGAGCTGACAAAAACATGGAGTGTCAGGTTTTTCCCCATTAGCTGGTTTCTGGGGATGGGACGGAGAAGAAATATAGGTGGTGGAAAGGATAGTTTGGGGGACTGGTGGTAAGGATAAAGCATCCTTTTACCTGCAAGTCTTCGGTTCCATAGGCCACAGACAGAAAGGGATAATTGGCTGATGGCAGGCTGGTGGATTTCATCGTGCACAGAGGTCCACAATATTAAACTCCCTGCTGTAATTTGCATCCCTAGTCAAAAGTCTTGCCAAAAAGGCAGCAGACTGAATGGAGCGTGGAGAACTGTCCTTTTTCATCCTAGCAAGGTGGTCCCTCCAGCACAGTGTTGAGGGCACATTGCCATGTGGAAGAAGCTGGCACGGCTATTTCCCATGGTACATCTCTTCTCATTCTCAACAGCATTCTCCGGGGTTGTCAAGCCAGCACCATTCCTGAGTCTTTAATTTAGAATCGGTAAATACTATTTAGGGCACAATCTGGAGCTGATGGGAATTTTGCCATTGATTTCGACAGGCGCGACCTGGCCTTTACTGAGCTTTCCTTGTGGGACCTGTGATTTATGTTCTAAGTTGCCTGATTTGCAAGTGGAGTCATATTCAGATACTATTGTGGTGAGTGTGTTGTGAAAATTGGTATCTATCTAC